GGGCTACACTTCTAGGCTTCAGATTTCAGGTCTGAATTCTGGGTTCTGGCCTCTGAGCTCTAATTCAATATTCCAGGCTCCGGCTTCTAGATCTGAGCTCTGAGTTCCTTCAGCTTCACAGCAATAGGGGGAGAACAAGGTGGCCTCCCTGGCTAATGGGATTACCTCTGCTGACCCATCTGCATCCTCAGCTGGCCTGGAGGTGAGACGCTGCTTTTAGGGTGGTTCTCCCAGCCTTTCTGCTGCTGTTCTACCCTCAAGCCAGTTCTCTGGAGACAGATGCTAAGAAGGTCCCAAAGCACCCACCACCCAAACCCTGCAGGATTTACAGGATACATGCACACATTCATGATCCCAACTCTTCCTGGACCCCACCAGGACTACCTCAGACATGAATGGCATCCCTGGGACTCACACCCAGCCTGGGCTGCATCTGAGTCAGTTGATGAAATATAATCAACTATGTGTGTCCCTCTCCCTGTCCATTTGTTTCTCTGTGGAAGCTGAATTCCAGCCTCTACACCCCTTGGAAGCCAGAGTCACCTGACTACGAGGCCAGGCCCCCTGCAGGGTGCACCTTGTGCTCACCCTTGTGGATAGGGATGGCTGCTTCCCCCAGCCCCCAGGCACAACTGGCCCACAGCTTTGTCAGCACTTTCAGCCAGGGTTCCAGGTCTGCCACCAGTGGCTGGTGTCCCACCCTGGCCATGAGCAGAGGTCGCTATGTGCCTTGCAGCTTGTCCTATGACCATCCTGTACCATCCCCTTTCCCAGCTCCAGGGGCATCAAGGGGCTGGGTTGGGAAACAGGAGACATGTGGCAAGATTCTCTCTTGAAGGCTTTGGACTAGTCAGGCTTGTGTTTCATGGCATTCTTGAGGAAGTCACAGCCACAGTATTAGCCTCAGTGTCCTCTGTGAAAGACGAGTGTCGGGGAGGGTGCACAGTGATCACAGACATTCTCTCCCTCATGCTGAGCACTGGGTGCACAGGGGAAGCCCCCCCACCCCTGCCCCTGACACACACACCCCATGCCCAGGGCTTCCCCAACCTGGTCAGGTGAGAGAAAGCAGGTCTACTACCATTTCCTAACCACCCAGCCCCCTTGACCCTGCCCCGTGTCTGAACCTCTTTCCTGGCATGGAGCCTGGGCAGGCTGGGATGGTATGGGCCCAGGGTCTTGAGTGACACTGGGAGTGCAGAAACTGGAAGGAGGAAACCATGTTTCCCTTGGCCCAGGGCTACTTCAGGAGGTGTGTTGGGGGAGGGGCAAGATCTGTAGAGACTGGGAAGGTCATTACTATTGTGATTTTTAATTGCATCCTTTTAAAATATTAAAGGCTGAAGTCTTCTTTCACAACTACCCCCAATCCAAGTCCCCTTCTCCATCTCTTAGAAATAATCACTATTGTCAATTTGGTGTGCATCCTTCTAGAACATTCTTTCTCCTTTCTGCACAGTTTTAAGGGCTCATCTGTGTGTTTTATATAAAGGTATCGTGCCATATGCATTGTTCTGCTTTATTTTTACTGAACCATAACATCTTGGAGAACTCTTCTAATCAGTCATACTGTCGTCCCCAATTCTTTATCCACAGTGTGGTATTGCTGAGCATAGAGATGTCACATTGTGTCTTGTTCTTTTGTTCTCTCCGACACTGCTTCCCCCCCCCCGCCCTGTCCACATGTGGCTGTTCATCAGTTTTTGGGTTATAGACAATGCTGTAGGGATGGGCTTCCTTGCTCCTGGGAGGAAATAACTCTCTAGGGCCACTGCTGGGGTCACATACTGTGTGTTTTTAATTTTAACAGAAACTCCCAAACTGCCCCCCAGAGCAGCCATAGCAATATACCTCTCACGAGAGGGCCCTGGTTCCCCATCAGGGGTTTCTGCACCATCCATGTCCTCCCTGTGTGACCTGGAGTCACAGCCCTAAGGCTAGGCAGCTCCTGTGACAATTCCTGGCAGGATCCTGGGCTGATCATGTCTCTTCCTGAAGCCTTGGTTTTATCCCTACCAAGCTGTTTTGTGGTGAGGACAATGAGATAAAGGACGGAGCATGTCTAACTTGGGGATTTGAGTAAAAATGAGCTGCATCCCCTGCAGGCCCATGATGCCTTCCCCCATGGGGCAGAGGACTCCTGGGAGTAACAAGTATCACTGCTGGATCTGCAGAGGTGCAGGGTTGGGCGAAGGATGGGTCTGACCTGCAAGACCTACCAACTTTGGGGAGACATCCCATCTCTCACCTCTATATCCTGGGGTGCATGGAAGGGTGTCTCTTCCCACAGGGGAGAAGCCCCAGGTCCCAGGAAGTGTGATGGAGTTTCTGCAGCTGGTGGGGGCCAGAACATAGGCCTCTTTCCCTAGTCCTACCCTTGGTCACAACTCTAGTGCTAAACAGTCCCCTGACCAGGACCCACACCGTCTTGCTGACTCTGCATCCTTTATTGAGATTGTCTGAGGCTATTTTGTCAGCCCTCTAGGCTCTTGGGCAAGGAACTCTGGTAGCACAGTGCCTAAGGCATCTGACTGCTAACCAGAAAGTTGGCAGTTCAAACCCACCAGCCATTCTGCAGAAGCAAGACTGGGCAATCTACTTCCATAAAGATTTACCACCTCAGAAACCCAGTGAGTGTCACTATGAGTCAGAATCGACTGGATGGCAGTGGGTTTTTTTTTTTTTTTTTGGTTTTCTAGGCCAAGGGATACGACAGTGAATAAGATGGACAAGGTTTCTCCTCCCAGGGCACTCACATTCTACTGTCAGCAAATGAGTGTAAAATAAGTCAACAAGATAAACAGAGGGTGATCAATGGTGTGCAGGAAGAAAACAGGACAGAATGATAGAGAACCAGGGTGGGGTGTGCTTTCTACAGGGTGACCCGGAAATCTCCTCTGAGATGCTGCAAATGAGATCTTCAAGTAAGCAGGGTTTTTATGGTTTCAGAAGTCCCTGGGTAGTTCAGTCAATTCATTTGGCTGCTAACTGAAATGTTGGAGGTTCAGTTCCACTGAGAGGTGCTTCAGAAGAAAAGCCTGGCAATCTATGTCCAAAAAAACCCAGCCATTGAGAAGCCTAGGGAGCACAGTTCTCCTTTGACACCGTGAGTCACCATAGGTCACCATGAGTCGGAGTCTGTAGCAACTGGTGGTTTTTGTGGTCACAGATCTTTGAACTCTGACTCAAAGTAACAAGTGCATACACATAGCCACACAAAGAACGTATTGGCTTGCTTAATGAAAAAATCTAGGGATTGTTGAATGGCTGAATGTAGGTGTTCAAACAATTTTGTCCGAAATCTCCTTCCATCTCTTGGTTTTCCTTTCCCATGTTAGCCTCATTCATATTGAGGTTCTGTCAGTGCAGGGCTTCCTACAAACTCACCATCCCCAGGAGATGGCAGAAAATTACCAGGTTTGGGATTCTGCTTGGGACAACTTGGGTCAGAGGACCATTCATCCCTGAACCAAATTGTGGCCAGAGAGAGGGAGTACTCGGATCGGCCAGGCTGGCTCATAAGCCCATTCTAGCAGCCAGGGAAACCTAGCCAAAGAAAATGGGCCCAGGCCAGTGGAGGGCTGAAGCTCCCTAAGGCAGGCTTGGGTTCTATTCTAGAGAAAGGGAAGGTGGGCTAGCAAAACCTACTGTTCCCTCCCCTGGATTTCAGGCATGAGAGGGAACCAACTATAGTATACTATATGGGGTTGGGGGGTATGGGCATTCCTGGCAGAGGGACCAGCAGGTGCAAAGACCTAGAGTGGGAAGAGAGCTCGACCTGCTTGAGGCATCAGGAGATCCCCTCACCCTTACGTGTCTTCTCAGGTGCCCACGCCTCTTTGCTGTCTCTGCTACAGTTCCTACCTCTCTGGACTGGGGCTACACGAGTCTGGCTTCCCTCCCCACAGGCTGGGGCCCTCCTTCTGGGAGGTCTTCCCTGCTTCTCTTCCCTGTGGGGGTCTGAGCTTGCTTTGCTGCCTGGGGCAGGGAAGACCTCCCATCCAAAACAGGCAAGGATCAGAATCTTCCCCCTGGCCCTGCCAACAGTCAGAGTCTCCCACACAGGGCTTCCAATGCATGCAAAAGGGCCCCCGGTGAAGCCTGAAACGCTCAGTTCCCAACTACAGGTCCACACAGAAGCAGAGGACAGTGGTCAGAATGATGTACACAGATGCACGGAGCTGCCGAACAGCACCCTGCCTGGCAGAGGCAGCTCCCCAGAGGGTTCTCTCCTCCCTCGCTCTCTTTCCCCTTTGCTGTCTGTCTCTCTTTCTCTCACACGCACACACACTCTCTGTCTCTTACACACACACACACACACACCATACTCTGTGCAGTCAGGAACAGAGCTTGTGACAACAGGAAGTCAGAAGGCACATCCTAAAGTCCCCAAGAGCTTCCTGGCACTGACCTGGTGACAAAAGCAGTGTGGTTTGGGGTGGGTGGGGAAGGTACACAGAAGACTGACACACAAGGAACACACCTCATTGCATAATAATAATAATAATAATTATAATTATAATAACAGTATCATACAACCAGGACATACCCAGCTGCCCCAAAGCCAATTGCAAAATCCATATGTATAGTCCCAATCTGTGTTGGTGGAGGGAGAGACCTCTTCACCTGCACCCCCAGGCCTGACACATACCTGCTCCCAGAGGAGGGGTCGGGCCCTCCTCCACCTCACCCCCCACTGAGCCCTGGCAAAGGGTAGGGAGGTTGGCACTGCCAACGCCACCCCTCTGGGTTGGGCCCACCTACCCCCAGGGGCCTGGCTACAAGGGAAGAGTGAGTGAGTCTGTGAGGGGTCAGGTGGTAGTAGCTGTGGGGTGTGGCTCCCCTGAGCTCCCTCTCCACCCCTTCCCCACTCTTCCATGGGGCCTGCCCATGGAAGAAGGGGCCAGGGACACTACGGCACAGACAGGGCATGCAGAGCGGACCCATGGCATGCTTGGCCCGCAGGCACCATGCAGCCAGCCTGGACTGTTGGGCAGTTGTCAGAGGGCTGAGTCAGCAGTGGAGTCCAAGTGGCCGCTCTGGGGTTGGGCTGATTCAGTCTGTGGTGGGGCTTCTTGGTTGCCGGACCCTTGGGTGGGCAGCTGCAGAAATTCTGGAATCACCAGGTCCTCTTTGCGCAGAAGGCCCCTCTGGTCATGGGCCCCACTGCTCTGCACCCGGTTCAGCAGCTCTACCAGGCCTGGGGGGCAGTCACAGAGTCAGGGGCCACCAGAGTCTTACTAACCTCACTGTGCTCACAGCCTCCCAGACCCCAGTACCAATGGCCCCAGCTGCCAGTCCAGCCCCTGGTTTCTGTCCCTTGCCTCAGTTCAAGTCTGTCTAATGGCATCCTCAAGGGCCCTTAACACCAATGTCCTGGCCCCTCTGGTCTCCAGCCCCCACTATCCCCAATATACCTTCAATGTCACAAGTCTGCCGCTTCCTAGTGGCACCACCAGGCAGCTCGGCCAGCGAGTTGGGGGGTAGTGGACAGGAGTGGGCAGTCTTATCCTGGGTCCTGGGCGGGTCCCCCTGCAAGAAAGTGTTAGAGCCACAGCCAAGAGAGGAGTAGCAGTTGATGGAAGGAAGAGGGCAGGACATCCTACCCCGGACTCACCTGGCTGCGGTTGGGGGATAGGTCCCTGGTTTCGGGGATCTTAGTACCTGTGGCAGAGAACACCACCTTTAGGTTCACTTCCTGCCTGGTGCTGCTTGCTCCTGGGTCTGCACCATTCCTAGGGACCAAGAGCCTCTGGGGGGCCAATGTCCCCTACCTGGGAGTGTGTCCAAAACCAGTCTTTGGGCGGCCACGGAACTAACTAGCTTCTCCAGATCCAGCGGTTGCTTCTCGCCTGGCTGCGGGGACAAGTCAGCAGACCGCAGGGTAGGCAGCCGGGCTCCCTACCGCCCCATTCCAGCCCGCAACAGCGCCACTTACCCGGTGCAGCGACACCTGCTGCGGGCTCAAGCCATACTTCGCCAGGATGGGCTGCAGCGCCTCCTGCAGCCGCTTAGTGGGCTTGGCGGAGATTCGCACGACACGCTCCTGAGCAGTGAACTCCAGCCTGCGCGGGATCCCCGGGCTGCGGAAGGGCCGAAAGCCGGCCCCGCCTCTCCCCCAACCGACCCGAGGCGACTAGAGAAGGCGAAACCTGAACTGGGGGTGGGTGGGACTACTTGGGGAGTGACTATAGCCCAGAGGCGCGGTTATCACAGCGGGTAGGGCCTGATGGAGAGACTAGTAACCCAGTCTGGAGACTCGCGGGACTGAGCCGTCACGCTTCAGGGCGGGCACTCACTCGAAAGTGATCCTGTTCTCCAGCCGCACTTCCTGGTCTGCCAGCACGGTGCAGTCCTGATCCAGGACCAAGGCCTTCTGCGGACGCCAAGCAGGGTCACAGTCCCTCCCTACCCTGACCCATCCCCAGGGTCTGAGGGAGCCATTGTTACTTTCTGACGTGGCCGCTATTGGGGATCCCTAAAGGTCGGATGGAGAGCGGTAGGGGTGCAGATGGGGCAAGGCCGGGCTGGCATAGAAGCCTGAGGCCTTGGAAGAAGGGTGGCAAAAAAGCTGGACAGAGCTTGGGAGAGGAATAGTTATGGGAAACATGGGGCAGGGAGGGGTACATGAAAGGGTCCTGGGGCTGCTTCAGTAAGGGGCAGCTTCTGTCCTGGATAATGGGGACTGCCCCTTCTGGGCTAGGACTGACTATACCTCCAGGACAACTGCCCCCTTGACTGTCCCTCAGGCATCTGAACTCCAACCAGTCCACCCAGGCCTTGCCCCTTTTTTTGACACCTGTCCACTCCTCTCCATCCTCCCACACCCCTTACTAAGGACACATCTTGTTTCCTCACTGTAAAATGGGGTACCAAAGCCCATTTTCAAGACTGCTGTGAGGCAAAAAACAAAACAAAACAAAACCCTCATTGTCACTGAGTCATTTCCAACTCATGGCAATCAGAGGTGCTTCAGAGCAGAACTGCACTCTGTAGGGTGAGAAATATCTGTTACCTTATGGAAGTAGATTACCAGGACTTTCTTCCACAGCATAACTGGGTGAATTCAAACCACCAACCTTTTTGGTTGGGAGCTCTGGTAGCTTAGTGCCTAAGGCACTTGACTACTAACCAGAAGGCTGGTGGTTCAAACCCACCAGCCACTCCTTGGAAGGAAGGTTGGGCAATCTACTTCTGTAGTGATACTGCCTCAGAAACCCAAGGAGGGGTCGCTATGAGTTGGGTCCCACTCAACGGCACATAACAACAACCTTTTAGTTAGTAGCCAAGTACACACCGTTTAAATCACAGAGGGACGCAAATCATGTGGCACAGTGCCTGGCAGATAGTAGGTGCATAAACAATAACTTGTGATTTCCACTCTCAAAGGCCCCTTGTGCCTGCACCAGTCCACAGGGTGGGAGGAGGCTAGGCCAGCCTCTCCCAGGTACTAGGCCTGTGATGTGCTTCAGGGACAGGTGGAGTGTGGGTGTGAAGTTATATTTAACTGGACATGAAGGCCCATCTGGGCTGCTGGTGGCTGCCCTGGCGGCCTAAAGTGGGCAGAGCTCCTCCTCATTGCTGCCCTCACACCTTCATGCTCCAGGCCTCTAACATGTCCTGCATTTACCCACCTCCAGGCCTTCTCTTCTCCTGTGCCCTCTGCCTGGAATGCCCTGCCCCCACATGACTGCCAGGCAAACTCTTCCCCATCCTCACCAACTCCTGCCTCTTCCAAGAAGCCTTCCCAGACCAGCCAGAAATATCTGCCTTGCCCCAAGAAATTTTCTCTGGAGGCTTGACTTCTTGGACCTAATGACATCTTTTCTGATTCACCTCCAGCCTGTGGGCTTGGAGGACAAAGTCCAGGTTCTGGTACCTCTGCCCACATACCTAGTAGGGCCTTAGGACTTGTTTCCTGGGTGAATGAAATCCCGACAGGAGCCCCTGGAATGTAGCTTCTTCCTTTGAATACCCTTCACTGGATGGTTTTGTTTAAAGTGATTTTTTCCCCCTAGACTCGTCTTTAATACTTAATGCTAGTTTGCACTTAGTGAAAGCTTTTCATGGGTTAGATGAGGTTGGGTATCCCTGGTGGAGGAGGAGGTGAGGATGTCCATCAAACGGCCATCTCAGAGATGGGTCTGTGGAGATGGCAGGAGAATTCTGGGAGTGATGGGGGTCCTTTACCTCCCTGAAACTATCCCAGTGAAGAGGAAGATAAAAGAAGTTGGATCTAGGATGAGTATGAGGTTGGGGTCAGGATTTTCCTGGGGGTGAGGGTGGATGTCTGAGTTTAAGTGAAGAGTTGGTGCCAGGGTTGTTGGAGTTAGGCATGGAGATGGGAGGCTAAAGTTAGGAAGGGGGTGATGCTAAGGAATGGGATGGGAGTTAGGGTTGCTCCAGGATGTTAGGAATGGAGTTGGAGTTGGGATCATGGCTGGGTAGAGACAGGAATGGGGTTAGGGTCAGGATCAGGAAGGTGGACAGAGCTGGGGGCCAGGCCAGGTTCGCACCTGATCTTTGCCCACTAGGTAGACCTTGATGTCAGGTAGAGAGAGGCCTCGTTTCTCACAGATGCCTGCCAGCATGTCACGGATGGTGAGGCCAGGTCGGGCCAGGGCCAAGGAGGCAGTGCCATCAGGCAAGTACACGCAGCAATACTTCCCTGGTCGGCTTTCACTCTCACCCTCTGCACTCCCAAGGCTCTTCCGATGGCTCTGGTTCTGAGCAGGAGTGGGAAGGGGGCGTTATGTGTACACATGCAAGGAGTTGCAGACAGTTACACAGAGACAGGTATGTTCACTGGGGCATACATGGACACCCAAGGGCACCCTGGCCCACCTGCAGGCAGGAAAAGATACAGCGTGCTACAGGAACACCCAAGAATGTAAGTACACCCAGTACACCTGGGCATATGGGCACCCAGGGACAGGTCCACCCTCTGAGCACACATACATGCTGTATGGGGTACAGCATGTACCCCATAACTGGGGTAGATAAGTACACCAATGGGGACTTACAAATAACCAACACCAGCAGACAGAAGATGTGTGTCCATAATATGCATAGGACCCAATGTGGTGAGGACAGGAAGATGGCTGAGGAATTGGGCTCACAGGGCAAGCCAGGAGATGCAAGTGGGGACCAGGTCTGGGAACGATGGCCCATGAAATGGGGCCTGAGCAAAGGCCCTAGCTCGTTACCTTGTCTCCCCCAGCAGTCGGCTCACCTCAGATTTGCTGCTGACGAAGGCTAGGAAACCGAGGTCCAGACTGGCGGAGGAGTTTAGGGACCCCTGAGACTCTCTGCGCAAGTGTGTAGCCCCACCTGCCAGCTCTGGGGGAAGGGGAACAATGAACAGACCAATCCCTCCTCCCTCCACCCCTCAGTCTAGGCTTCTCCTGCTCTGGGCCAAGAGTGAGCCATCTCTCCGGGATCTTGTTTGACACGTTCTAGTAGGGGTCCAAATGGTTTGGGTCCCTGGAAACGTCACTACCTTGGGAGCTTCCCAAAGTTCTGGGGTCTAGCCTGGAAACCAAACCACCCTGGGAAACATGGTGGTCACAGACACCAGCACTTCGGTTTTTTTTTTTTTTTTTTTCAGTCAGTGGGGCACTTAGGAGGGTTGGGCCTTCCCAAGGCTTGCCCAACACCCATTACTCCTCCTCCAGCCAGCTCTACTCTTTGTCGCCCACTCCTGCTCTCACCCTTGCGGAAGGATTTGCGGAGAGGGCGTCCCCCGGGGCCCTCAGCAGGTGGCTGCTGCCCCAACTCCTCCACACCTAGCGGCAGCGACTTCCCGGGCTTCAGCTTTGGCTTCTGAGGGTACAAGGAAGGCGCTGGAATGGGAATGGCTCCTATCCCGCATGCAGAACATGGGTACACCCCCGCAGATCTGCACTAAGGGCGTCTCTTCGTGCAGATGATCTGCAAGGCCCCCTGCCTCCCACGGCCCCTCCTTCAGTACCTTCCTCGTGGCATCAGGGCTGCCGAGGCGTGAGGAGCCAGGTGCCTGTAGAGGGCGCCCCTCAGCCTCGGCCAGGAGGCACTCGCGGTATAGCGGGGATTTGACGAAGCGCGCGTAGCTGTCGAACTTCATCAAGTTGAAGATCTAAAAGCAGGAGTCAGAACCGTGAGTCCGTGCTCTGCGCACCGCCCGCGGCCTAGGCCCTGTTCTCGGTGTGGACTCCGCCCCCCCCCCGACCTAGGGAGGGAGCCCCTAGCCACCTCCCCAAACACCGCATTTCCTTTAGTCCATCTCCACAGTCCAGGACCCGCCTCTGCCCTTGGCTTCCCAGGCGTCTCAGCTAGACGCCCCCCCCACCCCCCTACCCCCCGCCCCGCCAGCTCCTTGTCCGCCGCAACTCTTGGTAAGGCCCTGGGACCCAGGCCCTGCCCTGCATTAGGATCTATAAACCAAAGCCAAACTCGCAGCCGAGGAGTAGGTTCCGACTCATGGAGACCCTACAGAGGACAGAGAACTGCCCCACGGCGTTTCTAAGGCTGAGAGGCTGGTGGGTTCCAACCCTAGATCTTTCAGTTAACAGCGGAGTGCTCCTTTCTAAGCCAAACTCACAACTATCGAGCAGATTCCGACTCATAGCGACCCCTAATGGGTTTCCGAGGCTGTAAATCTTGACGGAAATAGATTGGGGCAGCCTTTCTTTCACAGAGTGGCCGGTGGGTTTGAACCGCCACCCTTCTGGTTAGCAGTCAAATGCCTTAGGCACTGCGCCACCTGAACTCCTTTACCAAAAACCAAAACCAAACTCACTGCGGTCGAATGGGATCCGACTCAGAGAGACCCACCAACCCCTCCTTGAGTTTCCGAGCCTGCTTTTCTAGCATCCAAATCTTTCCCCTTGCGCTCATGCTCCGCCCCTGGATCTGACCCCGCCTCTGCTAACTAGTATTCCACTCCCCTTCCAAGGCCACGGGAGCTCTGGTGCCGTAATGCCTAAGTCATTTGACTGCTAACTGGAAGGCTGGCGGTTCAAACCCACCAGCCACTCCTCGGAAGGAAGGTTGGGCAATCTACTTCTCTAGTGATACCGCCTCGGAAACCCAAGTAGGGTTCGCTATGAGTCGGTCCAACTCCAAGACAGTGGTCGCGTTGCGCTTGGTTACAAGGCCACGCTCTTCTGTCCCAGGCTCCGCCCCCTGGGCTTACCCACCTGTAGTTGCGGCGCCCGGAACATGTCTGGCCGAGGCTGAGCCAGCACTTCTTCGCCGAGCCAGGCCTGCCGGTCGATATTCACGGGATTCAGCGCTTGGCTGGACAGGAACTCCTGGTAGATGTTGCGGGCCTCCTGAGCTAACTGGGGACGAGGGGCAGGAGGAGAAGGTCAGGGGCAGGGGCACGACCTAAAGCCTGGTCCCCATCCTAAGGTTCCAGTTTCCCTTCCTCCCCACCTGTTGGGTGTCGCTGGCCGGGATCTGTTGGAAGCGCTCGCAAGCTTTCCAGAAAGTTACGTTCTCGGCGCTGAACTCTTTCTTCAGAAACTCCTGGTGGGGGGTGGGGTCGTAAAGGGGAAGCATGTGTAGACACAGAGACCCAGTCAGGGAATGTGGTCAGAGATTGGGACAGAGACAGGGCTAAAAGACCGAGCCAGACAGACAGGACCAGACAAATGGCAACAGAATCCGAGGAGCAGAGATAGTAAGTGAGAAGCAGAAACAAGAATAGAGGGAAGGAAGAAGAAATGTTCTCCACTGGGAGAAAAGGAAGAACGCCAAAGAAAGGCTAGCTGAGGGCAGGACAGAGGACTCCCCTTAACCAGCCTGAAGCAGCTTCATCCATGCCCTCTCCCTGTCCCCTCCTTCCCACCCCAACCCAGGACTTACAGTGAAGTAAGCTAGACCCAGAGGATCCTGCAGCAGCCTCTCGAAGGACAAAGCCCAGCTGGCCACAGGCTGTTCCTCGGTGGGGAAGGGGCTGCTGGGGCCACTGGGGAGGCTGTGGATGCTGAGGGAGCTGCCACGGCCTTGGTCCTGGGGCCCAGCCACACTGCTCAGCTCTGCAAGGGGATGGATAAGTGGGAGTGAACCTTGGGCCACCCCTGCCCATCCCATCCACTCTCCAGACACAGTCCCCGGGACAGAAAGCACACAGCAGGTGTGTCCCTGAACAGATCCCTACCTCTACCCCCACCCAGGCTTCCCCTATGCCCTGTCACTTACCTCCATCTGAGACAGCCAGAACCTAAAAGAGACCCAAAGTAGAAAGTCAGAGCATAGACCAGTGAGGTTTCAGCACCCACAAGCTGGACCTGTATTCTCTGCTGCATGGAGGGCCACCCTGGGCATCCCAGCCACACCTCTACTTGGTTAAGGTTTAACTCAGATGGCCTCTGGCTCCTGTTCATATCACATGCCAAACATTGCTGGGACGGAGGCCAGGTACCTGACAGTCATCCTTGCCTCACTCCTTTCCCAGGGCCTTCTGTGTGGACCCAGCTGTATAGCATGATGGGTAGGAGCATAGACTTTTAATCCTGTCTCTGCCACTTACTTGTTATATGACTTTGGGTGAGTTCCTTAACTCCATATATAAATAAGAGATGATGGTAAACATAGTAACTCACTTCCTGGGTTCGTTGTAAGGACCAAATGAATTTACTATAGGACAGTGGCCCATACATGGTAAGTGCTATATCACTGTTGCTGTTGTCTTTGAGGAAGCAGAGGTGTCTCTATAGGCATTGATCTTATTGCAACTGTTTCCTCTTAGGTCTCAGGGTGTCCCACAGGTCACACCCCACCTTGGGTGGAGCATAGGATGCTATACTAGTATAAAGCAGTTGAGCCTGAACTAGAATGACTTGGAGGACCCCACCTGCAGAGATTCAGGTTCAGTACATCGAGGATGGGGCCTGAGGCTCATTTCTAACAAGCTCCAGGGTGATGCTGATGCTGTTAGTCCATGGACCACACTGTGAGCAGCATTGTACAGGCCGACTCCATCTTCCTTTCCCCTCCACCTCCCAAAGCACAATTCAGACATCTTTGGGAATCCCCCCTTAGTGAAACAGAAAAACCCTCCTCTCAAAATGACTCTTGCAGTGGTCTCTCTGGGTCTCTTCCTACCTTTCTAGCAGCATTTCAGCTTCCCCATCATCCTCCCAGAGAGCTTCTACCCCTCCCTGGCTCTGTCTTGAGCCCTTTCTCCCACCCACATATCCCCAACTCTAGACATACATAGCTAACTTTTTTATGGGACTACAGAAGGTCCCATAAGCCCTTCAAACTCAGCTATTCCTCCAACGGAACTGACTTCTGCACCCACAAAGGCAGAGTGCCAAACCTACTTCCCTACATCCTTTCTTCCCATCACCTGAGATCTCAACACCAGGGCTTGAGTCATCCCCAATTCCTCCCTCCCTCTTACTTCCCACATTTTTCACTTGGGCTTATCTCAGGGTGCTTTCTACCACCTGTCCCTTTTTTTCAGCCTCATTGGAAATAGGCCTGCAAATCTCTCCTTCCTTAGGAAGCCACTCCCAGCTCTCCTTGCTGAAATCTCTGCTCCCTTCTCCCACAGCACCCTGGGAGCACCCCACTTACAGAGCAACCATCTGTGGGCAGGTTCTAACCTGCAGACATGTAGGATATTAGAGCCACTGGGTGGTGAAATAGTTAATGCATTTGGCTGCTAACCAAAAGGTTGCAAGTTTGAGTCCACCCAAGGGCACCTCGGAAGGAAGGCCTGGCAATCTACTTCCAAAAAAGCAACCACTGAAAACCCTATGGAACACAGTTCTACACAGTTCTATTTTGACACACGTGTGTTTGCCATGAGTCTCATCAGCTTGACAGCAACTGGTATAAATATTTTGGCCCTAAGATTTTTTTTTTTTTAAAGTTTAAAAGGGTTTCTCACATTTAAATATCAGGAGATCTTACATAAAACTCCTGCTTTCCGTCTCCTCTTTAAAAATGTGATGTTCCAGCAACCCTGAACTTCTTTCCAGAAGTTGGTTGGCACTAAGCAGCATCCCCTCTTCCCATTGGCCTCTGGGGCCTATTTGACACATTTGTTATTTGTACAGACAGTGGTAGACAAGGACTGTCTCAGACTGCCTGAGCTCAAATTTGAGCTGTGTGATCTCAGACAAGGTACTTAACCTCTCTGTGCTTCAATTTCCTCCTCTATAAAGTTGGGCAAACAATGGTATTGACTTCAAAGGGTTGCTGTGGGGATTAAATGAGTTAAATGCATATAAACATCTTATAACATTATTGTTATGTAGTAAATGCTCAAGGAATGTTATTATTATTGTTGTTATTGTGTTAGTATTGGTGCCTGACTCAGACATCTGGGTTGGCAACCCCTGCCACAGAAGACAGAGCACAAGTTTTGGGATCTTCAGGATCTGGATTAAAATCTCAACCTTGTATTTTAAAAATTCTTTTAATTTAAAAATTATATTTTTCAATTGGATTTTTAAATTTCTTTTATAGCCTTGGACTCTCCTCTGAGCCGTGTCTCCCACCTAGAGCATGGGGAAAAGTCACCAAGGAGGAGAAAAGTTTGTGCAGTAGGTGGCTTGGCACAGAACCAGTTCCCCAGTGCACCATTCCTTGTCCAGGCAGGTGGCCCTCATTCTCTCTGCCTCTCCCCCATCAGAACCGCTTCACTAGCGGCATCTCCCTGAATGTGGGCCACAGCTACAGGAGACTCCTCCAAGGTTGTGCAGGAGGGACGGAGTTGAAGCCTTTCCTAATCCATCCCAAGGTTCCTTTCCAGCCTGCTCACTCCCTTTTCAGCAGCAGGGCACCACCATTCATCCCTGTGGATTACCTCCCTGTGCCACTCCCCTGGATGCTCTGCCACTATGCTCCCAACTCCAGGGATGTGGTACCCTGCCCCCTGCCCCCAACCCCCAGAATCTTCCTGCTGCCCCCTTCCATGACTGCCTGGTCCTGCCCTCCACCCACATCTTCTCTGCCTTGCTCAGAGCCCTCCATGGCTCCTGGCATAGGGCAGGGGTCTCTGAGAAAGGCACCTGGGCATTGAAGACAGCCCACACACCTACTTTCTTTGGCCCACAAAGGTTTTGATTTTTACATTATGTTTAATAGACTGTCTGTGTCTTCAGGTGAGGCCCCACTCCTGCCCTGGAAGGCCTGGGAGTTGCCAGTTTTGCAACCTGAAGCCCCACCTGGGCCTGACTCATGCACCCCTTCAACCTCACCAGTCTTCCTCCCCCTCACCTACACCCTACACTTCAGCAAACTTTTCTATTCCCCCCATACCCCTACACATTCCAGCTTCCTGCTTTGCTCTTTGCTCTGCCTGGATATCTATTCCTGCTCCCCCCACCAGACTGCCCTCCAGTCTCTGCCTGTTGAAGTTAGTCATCCCCAACACCAGTCTTCTGGGGACCTCCCTTCCCACCATGCTGGTGGCCACCCTCTTTGCCCTGCCAGTCTGGTAACTCCTACAGGGCAAGCCTGATTTGCAGGAGGGGACTCATCAGAAGCGCTTTTCCAGGAGACACCCTTCTTGCTCTGGGGCTCCCAAGCAGGCTTCAGGGCTCTGAGCCCTTCCTCTACCTTCCAGGAGGCCCTGGCACCCCCTTCACCAGGGAGGCCCAACCTCTGAACACCCAGCAGACTGAGCGGCCCCACCTTCTGCTACCTGCAGAGCTCTCAGAATTCCTCTTGCCCCACTAGTTGCTGGTTATACAGCTGGGGCTGAAACAGAGCAGGGACAGACATCTAGAGGTGAGAGGAAATGGGGATGGAGTCCAGTTCTAGCTCTGCCACTTGGAGGCAAGTAACTTCCCTCCTCTGAGTGTCAGTTTTCCCCCTGGTAGCATGGAGCTTAGCATTTCCAACCTCTTTGTATGGTGGTGAAGCTGAATGTGGCCCATATATGAAAGCACCCAGCATGCAACAGTCAGGGCAACACCGTGAGCAGAGTGGGATACAGAAGACTGTGGGCCAGGCTTTGATCTGCTAGAGAGGCTGCCAGGTCTGGGGAAGTATTGCTGAGCAGGGAAGGCCTCACCCAGCCCAGGCTGCTTGAGGAGAAGTGGTGAATGGGAGAAAAGGGGAAGGAAGGTGAGGGAGGGTGTGGTAGGCGGTGACACCCCAACCCATGGTCAGGCATCAATTTTCCATACTTTTTTTCGGGGGGGGGGGCAGGAATGGGCTGTGTGGAAGCTGCTGGTATCTGAGAATACTAAAGTGAGTATGGGGCCCCAAATTTCCTGGGCTCCAGCTGTGACAGGCACCCTCTGGCAGCAAACACCTATGTTGTCATTCCATCATTACATTCTTATACTGTGTGGCAGACATTACCCCCATTTTACAGATGACCAAATCGAAGCCCAAAGAAGTCATGCAGCTGGGAAGTGGCAGAACAGTGACTAGAGCCCAAGTTTGCCTGACTGAAGTCTGAGCTCTTACCTTACCCAGGATGCCTTCCCTTGTGGACAGGAGACTTAACAGGGAGAGTCTGGAGGCCACAGGGCCTCAGCCCTTGAGGCACATGTGGGCAAGGTCAATGGAGGTGAAGGGCTCAGGGGCTCCCATTGAACTCTGCCCTTGGGGATAGGGTCAGATATCAAAGGGAGGGCCAAGTTACTGAACATCTTCTGTGCTGGCCACTCTGGATCATTATCACATTTTATCTTCACTTGGGGAAACAGGCTCCAAGACCTCCCCTGGGGTTGCCTGGCCCCATCAGCCTGTACTAACCCTGTGGAGCTGACACCCAGCCTGGGCCTTTAGGAAGGCCACCTTGCACATGAGTACCTGGCCCAGAGGGGTCCACTGGTCTCCTTACAATTGTCCTCATTCAGGTAAGGAAGGCAAACAGGCTCCCTGAGAGTGACAGGCATGATAACTGCCACCTCTCCAGGCTTAACTCCAGCCCCTCTCCCTGCTTCCACATCCTGTGTCTGCCACAGCCAGGTCATGCCATTTCTTCTGCTGTGTGGCATGTCCTTTAAGGACCATCTTTTGCAGAGAAGTTGGTTCTCCCTCCTTAGGCGCCCATAAGCTTTGTCTATACCTAACCTGTGGCTCATACTCAAACCTAAATTTTATCTATTTTTTTGCACCTGTGTCTTTTGAGTCTTGCTAGACTCAGGGCTGCTGGAAAGCAGGGTCCAGGTCCCAAGTGCCTGAGACTTGAGTGTCTTGGACAGGCTGGCACAGAGTAGGTGCCGAGGAGGGTCTGTTGAATGAATGCATGAATGAACAAACAAATGAAGTGGCAGTTGGAGCTGTATGGAGACATCTCTGGGAAGGGAGCTAGGAGCCATCTCTAAGTGACAGGTTTCATTGCAACTGCCTGACAAGCTGAGTGTCAGAAAGATGGGCTGACAAATGGAGATGCCTTAGCAGGGATGATGGCAGTGGAGGAAGGTGGCAGGTGGAGGGGGAGGACCCTAGCCAGGCAATGCAGGAGGTGGAAGAGCACTGAATAGGAGTCAGCTCAGCTAGGTTCAAATACAGGACCCCCGCTTGATGGTGACTTTGGGCATGTCATTTATTCCACTGAGCCTCCCCTGGAGGTCACTTCTGGAAGGAGTGAGATACTTGGCCCCCAGGTACCTCTCTGTTCACATCCCTGCCATCAAGGTCAGGCTGAGACACCTAGCCACCTACCCCATCCCAGCCAGGCAGTGCCCCAGAGGGCTGCCTGGTGACCAGCAAGCAGCCTTTCTGTGACCCTCAATATTGCAAAAGATGACACAGAGAGTTCAGAATGGGCCCAGGAAAGGGCAAAGATAAACCTGTGTGTAAAGCTTACTGGGAGAAGCCAGGGTGTCTGTGGGCTTGACAGGCAGGGGTCAGAGGTTGGGGTGTCCTCCCAACTCTGAATGACCCTGGGTTGATGCAGGAGGGGTAGGGGATGGGTCTGTCTCTGGGCACCCCAGCTGCCCTGCAATTCTGAACACCAATCTAGCCGCCCCTTCCTCAAGAGATGGGTGGGCCTGAGTCTGTTCCATTGCGGATGCATGGAGTGGACATGCAGGGAGGGTCGAGCTAAAAGTCATGGCTCTGAGGGTGGGAGTCCAAGGAAGATGGGTTCTCTGGGAGTTTTCAGAGTCAGGTTGGTGGGAGAGACAGTGAAAAGAGGGCTGGGCCAGCTTTGAAGGGTTTGACTCCCTCCCACCTAGCCAGCCTGGGGCTGAGGATTAAGAGATGCTGGAAGAAGGTGAGATGGAGACAGGTCTTGGAAATTAGGAGGCAGGGGTGGGGGTGAGGGGTGGTTTAGCTTGTTCGTGAGGCAGGAGGTTATGAAGAAGTGCTGAGAATGTAGGGGGCATTGGACTGACATCAATGGATCTCCCATAGTGGGTTGTGCTCATCATCTCACTTAATCATCTCAAGAAGTCTTTATGATCTGTTTCAATCTCCCCATTTTTCAGATGAGGAAACTGAGGCTCAGATAATAGCTTTCCCTATCCCACCCCCAGTAAGGAACAGTAGAGTCTAGACTAGAACCCAGGTCTTCCTGGATTCAGTGGGACCAGGTAGGGGGCCAGGCCACTAGCTGGCTTTCTTGGGGTTGTCAGGAGGAGTCGGAGCTCTGCCCAGTGGACTGGGGGCTTAGGGAAGGTAGGAAGCCCAGTGCTGCCCACCCTGTCTGCTGAATGAAGGAAGAAGCTGGACTCTCCAAAGGTGGCCCTGACCACAGGGCCAAGCAGCCAGGAAGAGGGAGCAGAAGGAGGGCAGTGCAGCCAGGACTGTCCCAGTGCCCAGCTCCACCTTCTTCCTGGAAGGACTGAACAGGTAGAAGCTGCACTAACCATGTCACTCCCCCGCCAACCCAGCCTCATCCTGCTGACCAGGCTACCTAAGGACTGCAGAGGTAGCGCATATGGAGCAGGTCTGGCTACAAGGCAGTGACCCAACAAGGGCTGACCCTTCCCTATCTGTCCTGGCCTTGGGCACTAGAGACCTGGAGGGAGGAAGGTTGAGGCTAAGTGAGGTGTGAGGGCTTGAGCCACTCCCGGGTGGGCAGAGGGCAAGGAGCCTATCATCTCTCTGCTGCCCGAGGACACAGAGAGCTGAGATAGTGCCAAAAATAGCAGGTAAGGGAGCAGTGGGGGCTAGACCAGAAGCTGTGCCTACTCTGCCCTGGCCTCATCCCCAGGGTCCTCCAAGTCCTCAGCCAAACCATCTGGGAGGGTCCTGGGGAAAGGGCATCAGTCCCACTGCCTGCTGTTTTCTATTTCTAACTTCTCTTGTTTGCTGGCAGCAGCAGGCTCTTGTTGAGCACTGCCGGGTGTGCCTCTGGGGTTCTGCCCTGGGTGTGCCCACCCATCCCTTTGGCCCTGGCCCAGAGCCCACACTCACCATGCGCCCGTTGGGGACGCCCAGGTGCTTGGGCTTCCCTGGCATGCTGCTGCTGATCACAGGTCCCTGCCGCAAGGGACGCCCACCATGGGGACAGTGGGCAGAGCTGGCCAGAGCTTGCAGGGCGGGCGGGCGGGCGGCGGAGAGAGCCCGGCTCCGCTCCTGCGGGCCCTCACATCCTGAAACACCAGCTCACTACCTCTTTTCTCTGCCACAGGAAGTGTCTCTATAGAAACCAAACCACAGAAAGAAGCAAGGTCTAAGAGAGCGAATGCCTCTTCCTACACACACACACACACACACACACGCACACACACACACACACATACACGTTCACGCACTCACACATGCCGCCAACGCACCCTTGGCAGCACCCCACACAGGCATCGACACACAGCAAGGACTTGGCGTGCTCAGCAAGGAGCCAGCCTAGTCTGGCTCAACTCAGGGAGCTACAAGGTCATGGTTGGACACACAGAAATGCACACTCACACACCCAGGCATCTTCATACACCCTGGCAAGGGTCCTTGTGGATACTTGTGCCTGTGCACTGGGACCTGCTAGGCATCCATGTACTTCAGTCAGCACACACTTACCTCATACCTACTGTGTGCTAAGCCTGTGCATACTCAAGGACACCCACAGGCTGTCCTCCCATGCACATGTCCAACTGTGCACACAGACATGCATATACCTACCATAAGAGCTCATATATTACTCTAAGTACAGGTTTACTTAAAAAAGCAAACCAAACTCACTGCCATTGAGTTGGATCCAACTCATAGCGACCCCTCGTTGGGTTTCTGAGGCAGTATCACTATGGAAGTAGATTGCCCAATCTTTCTTCCAAGGAATGGCTGCTGGGTTTGAACCACCAGCCTTCTGGTTAGAAGTCAAATGCCTTAGGCACTACGTTACCAGATCTCCTATGGGTTTACTTAGAGCCTTCAATTACCTACCACTATGGGAGCTCTGGTAGCATAGTGGCTAAGGCACTTGACTGCTAACCAGAAGGCTGGCGGTTCAAACCCACCAGCCACTCCTCGGAAAGAAGGTTGGGCAATCCTACTTCCGTAGTGATACTGCCTCGGAAACCCAAGGAGGGGTCGCTATGAGTCGGGGCCGACTCGACGGCAAACAACAACAACAATGGTCTGGATAGGAGCTCTGGAATTGATGTTTCATCAGTTAGAAACATCAGCTTTGGAGCATTGTATTTGAGCCATTATTGGGCTCAAATTGAGCATCAGCGTCTGTTTTTTACAGCAGCTAGCACTACCCTAGTTGACATGCTCTTCTCTCAGCCCTGAGTCACTTTTTTCCAGAAATTCCGCTTCAGGACTTGGTATAGGTATGGGGTGGTGGTGGAGTATCGGGTCTGGAATACTGCCAGTGGTGGTGGTAATAAGGTGTTTGTGATTCTGTCAGTGTGCCTGCTGGGAGGGTGGGTAGGATGTAGGATGTGTGCTCTGAGTGGAGACTACATGTCTACTGTGCCATGGATCCAGACCTGGGCTTTATAGGGGACTTCACAGTTTGTGGAAAACTGAGTATTACAAACGGGTAATGCACTTGGCTGCTAACTGAAAGGTTGGTGGTTCCAATCTACCTAGAGGTGCCTCAGAAGAAAGTCCTGGTGATCACCTATTGAAAACCCTATGGGGCACAGTTCTATTTAGACAGACATGGGGTTGCCATGAGTCAGAGTCAGCAGCAGCTGATTTACTATTTACAGTTTACAGGGTCTTCTCCCAACATCGCCTCCTTTGATCCTCATAACCACTTTATGAGTGGTGCTCATTAGTACCATTTCATAGAACAGAAAACTGAGGTTCAGAGAGAAGTGAGTTGCCCAAGGTTACACATCAAATTAGAGGTTTGCTGAGCTGTGAATGTTATGTTCTTGGGGTGCCAGGATCTGGCCACCACCAGTCTAAGTCTTGCCCAGGTTCCAACAGCCCATCTTTCTCTCCCCAGAGGCCCAATCACAGGCTGTATCTGGGAACCTCTCTAAGTCCATCCTCTCCTGCTACTGCAGGAGTACCTTTCCCCACCTCTCCATCATGGATGTCAATTCCAGCTCTGACCACATCTTCACCCCAGGGACCCCAGCTGACCCTGAGACTTCCCATCTCTTGACACTTAATCTAGTTTCCTCCACTCTTAAGACAGTGGTAGAGTGACTCTACCCCACAGAAGAGTGTTCTCAACTTCTCTCTCCCTGGTTCTCCATGTTGTTGTTGTTATGTGCTGTTGAGTTGGACCCAACTCATAGCGACCCCTCCTTGGGTTTCCGAGGCGGTATCACTAGGGAAGTAGATTGCTCAACCTTTCTCCGAGGAGTGGTTGGTGGGTTTGAACCGCCAGCCTTCTGGTTAGCAGTCAAGTGCCTTAGGCACTATGCTACCAGAGCTCCTTAGTTCTCCATAGGAATCATTTATTGGTGTCCAATCTGTCTAGGAATTGTCCTGATCCTCCTTCCCTGTGGAGTCCTCCCTTACTCAGATCTTACCCTCTATATCTGGTGATGATAATCTCCAATTCACTCTCCCTAGCTCTGTTACCTGCCTCCTATCTCTTCTCCACACACACCCAGAGAAACTCATATTTGTTGCTCTCATGCTTAAATCCATCGCATCACCCTCTGAAAAAAGGCCATGTGCCTTAGCTAAGAATTTAAGGTTCTTTGAGTTGTGGCCTCAGCCAAATTCTCAGCCACCCCCCCCCCCACCTCAGCCATTCCAATCTACTTGTATCTTATGCATTCCTCTGCCTTTGCATTTCCTGTTCTCTCTATTGAGAATGCCTTTCCCCTTCTGGTAAACTCCTACTCATCCCTTATGACTCAATCCCAAGTTCTAGAACAAACATTTATTCCTTCAACAATTACTTATTAATCACCACCTATGTGCCAGACACTGTTCTAGATGCTGGGGATTTAGTAACTTGTTGACTTCGAGTAGGCTCCAACTCATAGCAACACTACAGGACAGAGTAGAACTGTTCCACAGGGTTTCCAAGGCAGTAATCTTTATGGAAGCAGATTGCCACATCTTTCTGCCAAAGGGCCAACCTTGTGGTTATTAGCTGAGTGCTTAGCCACTGTGCCACCAGGGCTCCAGGGATTTAGTCAAAACCAAAAACCAAACTCACTGCCATTGAGTGGATTCAGACTTATAGTGACCTCCTTTGGGTTTCTCAGGTGGTAAATCTTTACTGAAGTAGATTGCCTCCTTCCAAGGAGTGGCTGGTGGGTTTGAACCGCCAGCCTTCTGGTTAGTAGTCAAGCGCCTTAGGCACTACGCTACCAGAGCTCATATCTATATCTATATCTATATCTATATCTATGTCTATATCTATATCTATACCATACCAAACCTACTGCCACTGAGTTGCTTCCAGCTCATAGTGAGCCTACAGGGCAGAGTAGAGCTGCCTATAAGGTTTCCAAAGCTGTAAATCTTTATCTTTTGTGGAGTGGCTGGTGAGTCTGAACTGCAGATAATTTTGGTTAGCAGTCAAATGTGTTAACCACTATACACCAGAGTTCTTTATAAAATAAGTTAATAAAAATATTACCCAGAAAAGATGTCTGAGCACCAAAACCTCAAAAAGTTCACTCATTCAGTAGTGACTGGGATTTTAAAACCTTCCAAGCAGTCATCTAGATGCAACGATGGGTCTCTTCTCGTCCAGAGTAAAAAAGAATGAAGAAAACCAGATCCAGGGGAACAATTAGTCCTAGCAACTGGTACACCATGCGATCTGCAGCCTATACGACTATGAGACTAGAAGAACTACATGGTGCCTGGCTACCACTGTCAACCACTCAGAGGGGGATCTATGTAGGATATTCTGGATAGAGAGAGAGAAGAATATGGAACAAAACTCAAAATCATTAAAAAAAAAAAAAAAAAAAAAGGTGGGGTGGTGGTGAACACCAGGTTTAACTGGTCTGATAGAGCCTGGTGGAACCACTGAGACTATGGCCCCTAGCTGCCCTTCAGGTTTGGAATTGAACCCACACCTGTGGCTTCCAGACAAACAAAAGACAGGCATATGAGCTGAACATTTACATTAGGTAGATACACTCCTTGGAGAGAACAATCATGGGAGAAAGAAGGGCTGTCTATGCACAGGTAGACAGCTCAGGGGACAGGAGTGCATGGAGGGATGGACAGAGGGAAGAGGTAACTATGGGGAGGAAGTGGGAGGGGAGTTGTTGCATTGGGGTAATTTGTAGTCAATGTCATGAGACAAAGTGTATGTGCACTGCTGTATGGGAAGTGAATTCACTCTGTAAATTTTCACCCAAATCACACACACACACACACAAAGTTCACTCATTCAAAAAGCTGTTTCCTAAAATTAAGGAGGAACCAACTGACCATCCCACTGTATGACTTATAATAAACCAAAAACAAACACAATGCCATGGAGTAGGACCAACTCATGGCGATCCTTCCTTGGGTTTCCCAGGCGGTATCACTATGGAAGTAGACTGCCCAACCTTCCTTCCGAGGAGTGGCTGGTGGGTTTGAATCACCATCCTTCTGGTTAGCAGTCAAATGCCAGCACTACCCCACGAGACCTCCCTGACTTATAACAGGGGTCGTTAATTTAATTGCTTAGAGGAGCCAGGTGGAGATCAGCTGGGAGGCGTTTGGAGTGGGAGCAGCCCCATTCAGCTCTAACCCATTGTTCTCTTGTGGCAAGGGAGCCTAATGTTTTTAGATCTTCTGATTTTAAATAAGAAACTAGAACTATGGATTTGTAATGTTAATTTAAATCTACTTTACAAATAATGATGATTTAGCTGCTTATTTAAATAGCATTAGCAGGAAAACAGCTCTTCTCGGCTGTAGGCCACCAGTTTTCCGCCTCTGGTCTATAGTTTTCTCAGACCTCTCAGGGATGCTTCTTGCTGGAGCAAAGTGATCATTTGGATCTGGGTGGCCCGAACCATCAGTGGGGTCTCAGGGCAGGATCTGGGTCTGCTACTCCCGCTTCAACTCGACAGGGTCTGAGGAAGTGGGAGTAGTGGATCCACTCAACTGGGAATCCTGAAATCTCCAAAGACGTCAATCTAGGGCAGGTGAGTGAAGCCAGTGGCCGTAAAAAGCTCTTTCAGGACCACTGAGAGAATCCAAGTCTGCGCGGGGATTGGAACCCAGACCTCCGCCTTCATTAGAGTTTCTTTTTCGTCCGAACTGTGAAAAGCAGTTCCAGAGATCCGGTATCTCAGGCCAGCGACTTGAGGGTGTTGCTTGGCTCGCCCGTCCTGCTCACGCGAGCGGCACGCAAAAACAACAAGTTCCAGCATGCTCCACTTCACAGATGACTCTCGGGATGCCCGCTGGCTCAAACCCTCCTTCAGCTTCCCATTGGCTCACAAGCCTAACGTGCTGTTCCGTGATTGGTTGTGGCTCTTGTCTCTCGTTAAAACCCATTGCGAAGGCTGGTCGAAATGTGCCTCTGAACAACCAAAGAGATGGAAAACCACTTGATCAGGGTGACAAGTTGCTCAGCCAATAGAGCCGCCGTCCCATCTACGGCGTGTTCTTGCTTTTTAACTCCATGGCGACACCAGGGTTGGTGGGCTTCCATCCGGAGGCCATTATATAGGACACCGGAAGGAGGAAGTGCCAGGGCGGAAGTGGCGGAGAGAAGAGAATGGCGGCGGAAGGCTGGATTTGGCGCTGGGGCTGGGGCCGGCGGTGCCTGGGGAGGCCTGGGCTTCCCGGCCCCGGCCCTGGCCCCACACCTTTCCTTCTTGTTTTTCTTCTGTTGTTGGGGCGGGTGGTCTCAGATATAACTGATGGCAACAGTGAACACCTCAAGCGGGAGCATTCGCTTATCAAACCCTACCAAGGTGAGGCCCGGAGCGGGTCTGAGTAAAGGATGAGGGCGAGGCTGGACAGGGTTACTGGGGTGCCCTTTCTGTGGATTTCCTGCCTCTAGGAAGGCCAGTCTTGGCATAGCCTCTTACACATATGTCTATGCCCGGCTATCTGTCTACAGGAGTCGGCTCCAGCTCCATGCCCCTCTGGGACTTCCAGGGCAGCACTATGCTCACGAGCCAGTACGTACGTCTGACCCCTGACGAACGCAGCAAAGAGGGTTCTATCTGGAATCACCAGGTGAGTGGTTCAAGGGAATAGACTTGCCGTTCAGAAAACTACTACTCTCTGCCCCAGCAGCGGAGACTTGATCTCGTTTGGAAGGCATGTCTGCCTCCTTCACCATCTTGGTCACACCCACAAATAATAATAGATAATGGATATTGAGTAATTACTATGTGCCAGGAGCTGTGTTTGACACTTTATACTTGTCTCACCCTTTTCAAAAGCCTTATGAAGTGAATGATGCCATCTCTATTTCACTAAAAAGCTAATGCTCAGAGGTGAACATGCATTACTCAGAGTCACACAGCCAGTTAAGTAGTGGAGCTGTCTGGCTGTGTAAACTGAATCCTCTCAATAGTGTTAAGAATGGAATGAATTGTATTTTTATTGTGTATTTGCTTTGTGTTAGGCACTGACCTTGACATGCTTTATTGCATTTATTCTCAAAAAGTTGTTTGAAATACATGGTTATTGTGATATTTTACAAAGATAATATGGCTAGGAAATGGCATAAATCATATTTAAACTCTGATCTGTCTGATCTCCAAGCCCAGCAGCACACTGGGCCTCCTACCCCTGGTCACTGGGGAAACCTCATAGAAATAACTTGTAGGCTCAAGTAATTGAGGGTCTTGTCATCAGTGATATGGAAGGGCTGGACTTGTGGTTAGTTCTGCTTTTACAGTCGTATTACCATCCTATAGTTTCATTGACTTTTGTGCCAGAAGTCAGGGAGCCTGAAGTGTCTGACCAAAATCAGCTGCCTCTTAGAGTCCTAGATTAGGAAAGGAGTAGAAGGGAGGTAACTTTATGCTAGATCTCAGCTTGGAGAGGAACGTGCTTCTGCCACAGCCTGCCTAATGCCAGCTCCTCCCACAGCTTAAGCTATTGCCCTGTGTCCGAGTTTTCTCTATCACCTTGTTCCCTGGTCTTTCTGATCAACTTCCCCACTGAGTTCTGGGAGGCAACATAAGCCTACACTATCCTTGTGTTACCTCATCTGCCTGTCTTCTCAGCGCCTCCTCTCATTCCTGTCCTGCGCCTCCACACTGCTGCTAGGGGCATCTGGGGTTACTTTGTTCAGTTTTCTCTCTGATCCTCAGAGCCTGGAGTCTCTGGGAAGGGACTAACATACGTTATGTCTGCACAATCTGGTCCCTAATGCCTTCATGTCTGCAGTCATTCTTTTGGTTAATTTTGTTCCAACCTGTCTGCCTGCCTTCTTGCCTCAGGGCCTTTGCACTTGTTGTTCCCTATGTCTGGGACACTGCCTACTGGCTCTTCATGCCTGCCTAGTTCTTCACATCTGTTAAGTCTCAGCTTGAGTGCCTCCCACTCAGTACTTCATTAGCCTTTTTATGTCCCTCAAGTCACATTCTGTCACATTATTTTGTCTTAGGACTTTCAGATGGTTTTTAAAAACGGTAACATAGCCTATGTTTTTCATGGAAATGAGTTCAGTATAGCATAAAGTTAAATTAAAAAAAAAAATACATATAGTGCAGGAACTGTTAAAACTTGGGTGCAACCACAAGAAACAAATGCAAGACAGTGGTTTAAATTATGGTTGTAGATAGTAGTTGGCATTGTCAGTGGCTTGGAGGTGTCACGGGGCTCAGAGGATTCTATACATTACTTTCATAAAGTTTTCACAGCCTGAAATAGAATTGTCTTATCTTCCTTGCTGCACCCTCCCCCAAGCTCCAGGGACCTTTCCTGTTTGACCCTGCTGATATTCTCAGAAGTCTTGGAGTGTGTTTCGGTTACCTAGTACTGCTCTGATAGGAATATATTGCATATGGAATGCTTGAAAAAACAGTTTATTCTCTTACAGTTTGGAGGCTTAAGTCTGAGTTCAGTGTGCCAGGCTCTAGGGGCTGGGTGAAAGCCCCTCAACCTTGGGCTTCAGCTCTGCCTCCTGCTCCTGGCCCACTGGAGCTAGAGACTTTTCTTTACTCAGACAGCTGCTGGCTGCTGAGACTGACAAGCCCAAGGTTGACAAGTAAAAAAGGCACAGACCTGATGTTACCAAACTACATGGCAGGCCATTAATTCAAGTCCATTAAAAGTCTCAAGGTCGGCAGAACATGGCAGGCTGCTGAACAATGACATGGCTACATGCAGAGTCCAAGCATGCCATGAGCTAAAGACCATTCCCAAAGCTGTTTCTTATATATGGGAAGCAGACCACATACCCAAAGCAGCCTCTCAGCTGCATACCATGGAGTTAATTACCAGTCTCACCATGAGGAATAACTACATTCTGCTGCCCAGCCACTTAACTAGGCCCAGCCAAGTTGACACACAAACTTAACTACCACAGAGTGCTTCCTATAATTCCTGACAGAAATTTCTTGGCACTCTTAGAAAGAATTTTCTGCCTAATATTTTCCCCAAACCACCTCTTTCCTGGGTTGGGAAGATGTCTTTTGAACTTTTCTACTCTTTGTCCCTTTTACTCACTCCATCTGGAAGAGACACTAAATTAGCAAACTTTCAGCACTTGCTGTCTTCTGGGCAGAGATAAGCTATAGCTCCTGCATGTGGGGATAGAGCCATCCATGTGAAGGAGTGACATATGCACAGAGGTGACTGGCACTCCAGGTACCTGATGGTTGGAGCACAGGACCCAGGGTGAGATTGGAGGGGCCCCATCATAAGGGGATCTTATGTGGAGGCTGTAACAGTAAATAGTTTTTAAACATTTTTTGTTGATACACCATCTTATATCACCTTGCAGTTTTTAAAAGTTGGTATCTAAAATTGCTTATCTGAAGTTTAAATATTTGCAAAGGATGTAGTTTTTAGCATATTTGAAATGCTGACATTTTAAAATAAAACTGTTAAGCACTTAGCACTCATAAATGTATTCAGTAGATTCTAACTATTGCATCTCGATGTCTGTTCTTCTAAGCTGTGTGAATGTACCCAAACTGTATATCAGTCCTTTTTATTGAACTTGTATTTTCATTTCACTTCTCATACAGAATTTTATTTAATGAAGTATCTTTAATGCTTGAAAAATCTCTTACTGGTTAGCTGGTCATTTGTTTGCTGTAAAATAAGTGTATGCAAAAATGACAAGGTGACCACATGTTCTGACCTCCTCTAACCCCACAAGAGGAAGGCAGAATCACCATCAATAGCCCAAGGTCTATTACTGCAAGGCCAGACATGCTGCCTGCCTCCAGCCCTTTCACCAACCATTCTTCCCAAAGCACCCACCACCTCTCTCCTGGGTTTGATAATTCATTGCAGTGGCTACACAGAACTCACAGATTATGGGGTTTATTAGGGAAGCACCAGGTTACAATTCAAGTTCAGGAAAAACACTCAGTCTCTCTCCCAGCAATGCGTGTCTCTTATGGCTCTTTCCCAGCAGCGGGCGTCCCTTTTAGGTGCACGTCTTCCTCAACCAGCAGTCAGAGAGAGACTTCTTCTGCCTCTAGGAGGCCTCCTTTTGAGCCTGGCAGAGTGGCCAAACTAACTAATCATAACATCAGAATTCTAAGCACCTGAGAGAGAGCAGGAACCTCCCAGAACATTGCTTTGTGCTGCGCCCCACAGAAATACCCCAGGTGGATAACTTTTACAATCAGGAGCTCCTCAGTTGCTCACGCAAATTCCACCACAGAGTTTACAAAGACGTATGGCTAGAAAAGCCACACTAAGTAATTTACTACACTGCAGTGTAATAATTTAAACTTTATAATTTTCTCAGGACTTTGAAATTAGTGCTAATATTTTCTTCTGGATTGAGTTTCCAAGTTGATAAAAAGTAAATGTATTACATGTCACATTTTGAATAATTAAATATATGAAAGTAACAGTTTGTTCAATTGTATCTCAGTGAGCTGGCTGCTCTACCCATCCCTTCTCCCAGGTATCTGGATGAATATTATTGTCAAAGTGAGACAAGGTTCAGAACCACTTCTACTTTCCGTTTCTATAGGTAAGAATGCTGAGAAACTGTGTTCACTTACACAAGGAAGTAGAGATGAAGGGAGTTTTGTCATAGCAAGGCCACTCAATAGTTTGAACTGCTTTAGGTTTATAAATCCCAAATTACATGGTGATCTTTTGTCAAAAATGGATTAGATTAGCTGATAAGTGGATTCGATCTGCCTTCATTTTGTTGAAAGCAGAGACGGGAAGCCACCTGTCTGTACAGTGGTCTGTTAGTGCCAGGTGAGTCAGATTCATTTGCCCTGGGTTGGGCCAGGTGGTTGGGATTCCTGAGAGTCCTGTGAGTCTGCTATGAGGCCAGGTGAGAACCACAGCCATGCTCACGCCTTCCCCCATAACAAGGCAGCTTCCAGAACTCTTCCAGCATGTACCCCAGCTGCTTAAAGTCCTTCTGAGGCTTTATGTTGTCAGTGTCATAGTATTTCTGTCCTGTAAACCGCAGGCTTCTATCAGGAGCATGTGGAGACTTTCCAGGGCCTGGGAGTCTTAGAGGATTCTGTATCCAGATCCTTATCTTCCCTTTGTGGTGTTTCCTGAAACTAATCTCCCTGTAGACACACCTGTGGAGGTGATGTAGGCTACCCTCTACCACCTCTCCTTCATGGTGCTTCCCCTACTCAACGGCATACTTCTCACCACTTGGGACCTTCCTTCAGTGCATTGTCCCCATGTGCCGAGGACTCCCGGGCACCAAAGAGACCATTTGAAATCTGGTTTGGTTTCTGGGCTGATATTTATATGTGGGAGATGTGTGATTTTATTTTTGTTTTAAATTTTCAAGTATAGTTGTGTGCCATATAATGTCTGTTTGGCCTGCACCCAACTGTATATATGTCTGTGGTCCCATAAAGTTATAGTAGAGTTCAGAAATCCTGATCCCAGAATGGGATGTAGGGAACACCACAGCTTCCTGCATGCAGCATGTGTATCTCATATCTGTTGTATACAGAGCGATTGCACTGCCAGGCATACATATATAATACATGTACAGTACATATATAACCTATAATACATAGCCTTGATAGTCATAATAAATGCCTGGATTATGG